CTCACTTGGTAGCCCAGGCTGGCCTCGAACTCACAGAGATCCTCCTGGCTCTGCCTCCCGAGTGCTGGGATTAAAGGCGTGCGCCACCACGCCCGGCCACATTTTCTTTATCAGGATCAGGATGCACAGTATGTGTGTAGCAAAAGGTCAGCTGTGAATAGACTCACTAGCAAATTCTATTTGCTGAGTATTCCATTTCCATTGACATGGTTTTTTTTTCTACTCTTGCTAGCATATTTTTGAAAATATGTAATATTAATACTCAATTAAACTCCATTTCAGTATTACAGACATAGACACTCTGTAATATAGTCTCCAGAAACTGGAGTTTGGTAACGACGATAAGAGTTATTTTTTTTTTTTTTTGGTTTTTCGAGACAGGGTTTCTCTGTGTAGCTTTGCGCCTTTCCTGGAGCTCACTTGGTAGCCCAGGCTGGCGTTAAGAGTTATTTTTTATTCATGATATGATCTAGTTTGGGTTTCCTTAGAGCTCTGGGTTATGATATGAGCAAGTGCTGGTGGTTCCACACAGCCATGTAGGGCCCGGCTTCTCCGTGGCTTTGCTTCCTCTAGAGTCCTTTCCATTCAGACAATAGATGAGAGAGAGGAGGGGAACCCTTTGTAAGTATATTTTAAGGATGAAATCCAGAAATAGCACTTACTTCAGCCTTCTTTCCGTTGACCAAAACACAGTTATGGTTGCACCCAGTTGCAAGGCCAGCTAGGAAATGTAATTCAGCTGATGTGAAAATTAGAAATGGTTTGGTGAATGTCTAGGCAGTCTCTGCCCTACCAGGTTGTTCTTCAGCATGGTTTACATACATAGCTAATTGCTTTTGTATTTCATTCCCTTTACCCGTTAAACTTCTAAATAATTGTTTCTATAATACTTTCTCATCAACTATCAAACATTCTGTGTAGCATCATACTGGAATTTACCACCAATCCTTCTCTATCAAATACTATTTATATTCCATATTAAAATCACTCTCCAACATTGGATATTTCCTTCTTTTCTTGGTTTCTTATATAAACTCAAATAATAATCTTTTTTTTAGATTTATTTATTTATTATGTACACAGTGTTCTGCCTGCATGTATGCCTGCAGGCCAGAAGAGGGCACCAGATCTCATCACAGATGGTTGTGAGCCACCATGTGGTTGCTGGGAATTGAACTCAGGACCTCTGAAGGAGCAGTCAGTGCTCTTAACCTCTGAGCCATCTCTCCAGCCCCTAATAATCTTTTTATTACTATGTTTTAGCTTTTTTTTTCTTGAGATTTATTCAATTTTTATCTCTCCCCACTGTGTGTGTGTGTGTGTGTGTGTGTGTGTGTGTGTGTGTGTGTGTACACATGTGAGTGCCTGTGGAGGCCAGAAGGCATTGGATCCCCTGGTGTTAGAGATACAGGTGGTTTATGAGCTCCTTGATGTGGGTACTGGGACTTGAACTTCAGTTACCTATAAGGGCAGTGGTGGTTTTAACCACTGATCCATCTCTCCGGCTTCCTTAGCTTCTTTCTTAGATGTTACTATCCCCTAAACAATATCCTTAATCCTTTATTTTGTTTGTTTATGAAGCACAATTGGAGTTTCATAAGAAAAGGTTTAAGGTAGATTTAAGCAAGGGCATGCAGTGTGTGTGTGTGTGTGTGTGTGTGTTACACAGTAGTGTATGCCCTAGATTAGTTTCAGGCTTCTTGAGAGAATCCCTCAAGATTGCTTTTGATCTAGCCGCCCTTTACATGTTATCATCTTTATTATGGTACCTAAAACAGTACATAATGATGTCTTTCCCCTCTGATTTTTGGCTCAGTGAATGGCACCTATTCTACCCAGTTTTTTAGAGTATAGGCATTGTTGCATTACTTGGTGGGCAGAGGTAGGAGGATATAAGTTTGAGGCTAGCCTGGACTATGTGATGAGACCCTATCTCAAACAAGACAAAACAAAACAAAGCAAAACAAAACAAAACAAAACAAACAAAATAGAGAACAGAAAATCCAATCAGAACTCTAGAGTCATTCTCTCATTTTCCTTAACCTCCATATGAAGTCTGCTTGCTTCTGCTTTCTTAGTGTCTACGCGTTTTGTTCACTTCTTTCTTCTGGTCTCAGTCACTGTGTAGCCAAGGTTGATCTTTGGACCTTGATCCCCTTGCTTCCATCTTCCAAATGCTGGCATTATAGCCGTGTACCACCACATCCATCCTCAATCTCTTGATGCTCAGTATTTCCTGTATGTTTGTAACTTAACTGTCTAATTTCTGTCTGTGTCCCAGACTTATTTCCATAAATCCATGCTGTAGTCACTTTTTCTCATCAGGCTTTCTTTGGACCGCCAGCCCCACTTATTATTATGAAAGATTGGCCTTTAGCTTAGGCTTATTCCCAACTAGTTTTTATAACATAAATTAACCTGTTTCTATTCATCTATGTTCTGCCATGTGGCTTTTTACCTCTCCTCCATTCTGTACGTCTGACCTCCCCAGTGTCTCGATGGCATCTCCTACATTCCTAGATTCTAACCCTGAGTTCCTCTCTCTCCCCAAAGGCCTGCCTAGCTATTGGCCATTCAGTTCTTTATTAAACCATTGAGAAGCTGCCTTAGGCAGAGACACATCTTTACAGTGTGCAAAAAAAATTATCCCCCAACACCACACTTGTAATGTTCAGCTGTTTTTTTAATTCAACACTATTTGGGTATCTTATGGACACCTCACACTCACATATCCAAACTCTATTTTGATTTTCGTTTCAAGAACCATCCATCTGCATTCTTTCCCAACCCCTTCAACTTCTTAATGCTTAGGATAAAATTTGGAGTGCTGTTATTGTTTCTTTCTTTTCTTTCTTTTTCCTCTTCATACCCTAAATTTAACAGATAAGAAAATTGAACATACTTGGAACACATCCAAGAATCTGATGATTCTCAGCATTTCTTTTCTAGTACTCAGTCAAGCCATTATTAATTCTCACCTGAGTTTTGAAAAGCATTTAAACATTTTGTCCTTGTGCTCAAAAATAAATTTGAATTTGTTAGCAGATATTCAGCCCTCAATTCCTATTAACAGAAGAACGTGTATTTCCCATACCATTGTTTTTGGGCTTGGCTGTATTGGTTAATTTAGCTTAAGGTTAATAGACAAGTAACATGTAGAGGCTTAAGTGTGTTTTTGAAATTCAGTTTTCCTTTTGTATTTTGATGAGATAATCCTGAAAAGAACTTGCCTCAGGTGTCTGCCTCATGTTCAGCCTGAACCTCAGAAGTCTCAGTTTCAGCTTGAGACTGAAAGTGAATCTGATCTGTAGCCTGTATTCAAGTTCAGGGCACCTCAGCCCAGAGCTGTCTGCTGAACCACGCAGTCTACCGTGTAGAATGTGAGAATAATCACTTATTGCTGTAGGCCATTGGGTTTGGGGGTTTGTTTTTTGAATGCTTGTGACATTAGTTGACAAATACTCCATTACAATCTGTTCTTAGCATAACAACCACAGTATTTGAAAGTGTAAAACAGATCTTATCACGGCTTAAAATCCTGTGATAGCTTCCCGGTTTTCTCAGAGTGAGAGTTATGGTGGTGCGTGGATTCTCAGCCTCCTATCCCCGCTCCCTGGATCGCTCACTGGTCTGCTCTCCTCTCTCCCTAAATCTGCTTCTACTCCGCTGGCTTAGTCCACCCCCATCCATAACAGTGAACTGCCTTGCAGCAGCTGCTCTTCCCTTGGACTGACAGGGCTTAGCTGATCCTTAGGGCTTTTCTCACATAGCACTGTCTTGTCATTAAGTAGCCCCCAGTGTTCTGGACTTTCTGCGTACCCTGGTATTCTGAATTCAATAAACATCTGCTCCACCTTTTTTTGTTTCCTAATATGTATAACTTTCTAATAAACTGTATAATTAGATTTTTAAATATGTTTGGGTTTTTGTTTACTGCCACTGAGGGACAGGGAATCTATGTTACTTTTATTCATTAATATATACCATAAGCTTAGAATAGTGTTAGTTACAAAACCTCCAAAAGACAAATGAGTGCATGAATGAGTGAGCCGCTAACCAAATAGGTAATGATGCACAGATCTGTTTTCTAAAATGCTCACATGTTGGTAATGCATGGCTGTGACACTCAGGTTTTAATTCTCTGCAGAAATGGCTACTCGTACAAAGTGGCAGTTGCATTATCTCTGTTTTTGGGTTGGCTGGGAGCAGATCGATTTTACCTCGGATATCCTGCCTTAGGTGAGTATGCTTCATTCAAAAACGAAAGAAAGAAAATCCTTGTGAAACTTGTTTAGAGTTTTTGTTAAATGAATATATGCCTATGATTTAGATCTCTCCATGTACAAGATTCATGTGAGTTGAATGAGTACATTTTTCTCTGAGTTGAGAGTGTTCATTTCTGCAGTTCAGCTAAAGCAGGCAATATTGGCCTTTCCAGTGTATTCATTCACCTTTTGGAAAACATAATCGAGGGTGAAGGCTCGTCACTTGACTGGAACTGTTGTGCTGTGCTAGGCACACAGTGGCTGTACAGTATGTTCACGAGTGTGTGTTTTTTCCAAGAGTGTCATTTGCCAGAGTCCTTGTCACTGTTGCCCTGGAATAGAAAAAACTGCTCTCAGGACAGAGTGGTGTTTGGTGATCACCACGAGCTGGGATGAGAGTCTGACCCACTCCATCCCTCCATCCTAACTATATATTTCCCTTTTGCCATGGTTTTACTAATGCATTTATGTTTGACCTTAAGTTTTGTTAAACTTTCATATGCCTACCTATATTTAAGACTTATAACTCTATGGTTATCACCCTCTTTAAATCCTCTTCAGCCTAGGGAAATTCACCAGAGAGGTTAAGGGATTTACTGAGCCAAGAGGCTTTGCTGTATTCTGTGACATATTTGTTGTAATCTTTCTTTTATAGATAAGGAAATTGTCATGAGATTATGAGATGGTATCCAAGGACATTTAGCTTAATAGGAACCCAAATTTTCTGTCTTTGGAGATCATGCTTTACTTACTATTGGATTCTGCTGGCATATTGAGCAAATGTAAAGTTTGAATGCTCAGCTTCCCAAACGGCAGCCCTAGTCTTTCTATGTAACTATGCACCAGAGAGCAAATAGGGGTCTTCCATGTGGGGTTGGGGGAGGTGTATTTCTGTCACTCGTATCTGAAACTAAATGTTCGAGTACATAAACAAAAGCCAGTGTTGACTTAGTGAACAAAGAAAATGAAGCTGGGCATGGTGGTACACACCTTTTCTCTCAGCAGCTGGGAGGCAGAGGCAAGTGGATCTCTGTGAGTTTAAGGCCAGCCTCGTCTATATAATGAGTTCTTGGATAGCCAGGGCTACATAGAGAGACCTGTGTGAAGAAAAAAACAAACAAAGAAAATAGCTGCAGGTTGGCAAGATGGCTTACCAGGTCAGGTAAAGGAACTTGCCACCAGGCCTAACCAGCTGAGTTCAATCCTAGGACCCACATGGTGAAGGACAACTTACCCTCTTGTTTTCTTCTGACCTCCACACACAGGTCATGGCATGTGTATCTCCCACCCCCACTCCCACAGTAAATAAAATAAAGTAAAAGTAAAATAAAAGAAAAGAAAAAAATAACTACATAAAAATTATGGAAGTAAAGATGAAGATTACAGTGTATATTTTTGTCTTAATTAGGGTTACTATTGCTATGATAAAACACTGTGACCAAATTAACTTGGGGAGGAAATAGTTTATTTGGCTTAGACTTCCACATCACTGTTCATAATTAAAGTCAGGACGGGAACTCAAGCAAGGCAGGAGCTGATGCAGATGGTGTAGAGGAATGCTGCTTACTGGCTTTCTCAGCCTGGTTTCTTATAGCACCCAGGACCACCAGCCCAGGGATGGCCCCACCCACCATGGGCTGGACCCTCCCACCTCAATTATTAATTAAAAGGAATGCCCTATAGGCTTGCCTATAGCACTATCTTGTAGAGGCATTTT